ACACATACACACACACACACACACACACACACACACACACACGCATATATAAAGTTAATCTCTCTCTCTCTCGCTCTCTCTCTCTCTCTATATATATAAATGTTTCTTGAGCAGAAAATCAAAATTATATAATATCAGAATGATATTAGAATGATTTCTGAATGATGTGAATTTAAATTGAATAAATATTTCACAATATTACTATAATTTTATATTTATATATATATATATATATATATATATATAGTCATGCTCAGTCATCTTTTTATTGTCATTTTCCTGCAGATCTGTCTAGTGTAATGTCACATTTGTGTCCAGAAGGTGTCTATGAGAAAATATAGCAAAATTCACTTTTAACAAAACTAACTAGTATTAATGTATAAAACCGTTTTGTAACATGTTAGCATATAGTAACTCTCTGTGGGCTGGAGAGGAATTACTGCAGTCATGTGTCAATTGCTTCATGCTGTATATCTGACCATTATCTTTTTTTTTCTTTCCTTTTTTTGTCCAGTATCACATCTCACAATAGTTCTTCTGTTCAGCCCAGGCCTCAGATACTATTTTATATAATGACAGCCACTTTTTGTGTGAAGAGGATTCAGTCTTTGAAAACAACTGAAAAGTAGTAAAAATTTCTTGGAGCTGAGGGCTGATGAATAAAACATGAAATGGCAAAGGAACGTTATTTGGGTGAGAGTGTGAGACCGAGAGAGAGAGAGAGAGAGAAAGAGAGAGAAAGAGGCTTTTTTTTTCTCTGCAGCAGTAGCTTTTCCTCTGGAAGTGCTGAGGGCGGCTTGTATAGAGCTAGAGGGCTCTGCCTTTGAAACCCCTAATGAAGATCTTCTGCTGACAGCCGCCCGCACAGAGTGGCATCTGTAGCCCACATGTAGCATTTTTAAAAGGCATGTAGAAACAAAAGCCTTACAAGCGTCCCCAGCACAGGGGATACAGACCAATACACATAGGTACACACTCTGACAAATATAGGGGTTATTCTTCTGAAAGACTGGCATTAGCTTTTCAGCATTGGTCAAAGCTTTTCGATTTACAGCTGTGTGTAAATCAACATCTAAGGTTGTTCTTGGGTTAAACGCAAGACGGCTTTAAACCTGAGGAAAATAGCGAAGCACAAATTAGCAAACAAAAGTGTGTATGTCTATGCATCCTCAACAGGATAACAACAAAAAAGCTGAAATTTAGATTAAATAACTGGTAAAAAATGAACACATTGGCGCATTGCGATGCATTAAAACAAAATCACTTCCATTACAATTAATGAAGCTGTCTAGAAAGAAACGTCCATTGTAGCATGTCAGTTGGCAGACACCATGTTTCTATTTTTGCCGTGCTACACAACCAGTCCAGTCACTTCTTTTCCTCACCCGCCTGTTTTTTTTTGTTTGTTTTTTTTGCTATGAATTTTTATTGGTTATGCATTTAAGCATTTAAGTGACTTTTTACATAACTGTTATATCTATATCAAAAGCGGCTCTGATTTTCACATCTTTTCCAGCTAAATACAGGTGCATCTCAATAAATTAGAATGTCGTGGAAAAGTTCATGTCAGTAATTCATTGATTGTATAGCCTAGTGAACCAAACTGAGAGACCATTTTGAAGGCTCAGGAAACCTTTGCAGGTGTTTTGAGTTGATTAGCTGATTGGCATGTCACCATATTCTAATTTGTTGAGATAGTGAATTGGTCGGTTTTTGTTAAATGTGAGCCAAAATCATCACAATTAAAAGAACCAAAGACTTAAACTACTTCAGTCTGTGTGCACTGAATTTATTTAATACACGAGTTTCACAATTTGAGTTGAATTACTGAAATAAATGAACTTTTCCACGACATTCTAATTTATTGAGATGCACCTGTACATGTATACATATGTGCGTGTGTGTGTGTGTGTGTGTGTGTGTGTGTGTGTGCAGTTGTAGCATTACTATAAGGAAAATTATTTTTATAGTTAAACTTTTAATTGTTTTATAATTACTTTGTAATTATTTGTATACCAGTAGGCCTAATTTTTTTGCTAAAAACAAAGGATTTTATTTTCAACTGATTTAATTTTCACTTGTGGTGTCAAGTTTACAGTTGGTTTGTGTTCATGTATGTTCTGAGATGATGTGCAGCTTCTTGGCCATATTGCTGGTTCCCTTTCAGTCGGTCACTCTCGACGTCACGTCGGATGACTGACGAATTGGGGATCTCGCTTAGAGAGACCAATCTACTTCGAGTCTGATCACAGCGTGAGTATAAGTAGGCAGCAGATGCAGCGCATATTCAGCTTTTCGCTTCGGAGCCAAGGTATCACATCGTTCTGCTCCTGACTACTCTAGTGAGAGAAGAAGACTGAAAGAGTTCAGCGCGCTCTTTGGGAGCTCTTCGTGTTGGCGGTACGGCGCTTCAGCGGTGGTGGTTTCCCGTGTCGAGTGGGTTGCCTGCGTTCTTCCTCGCTGCCCCACTGCGGGTACGCCTGTAGTTCCGTTGGTACCACTTGCGCGTACCACTTTGTTGGTACCTGGGAGCCTGGCTAGCGCTACCCAGCCCATCTCGATGGCTTCTTCGAACCATCAGGCTCGGCTATGCGATTAGGCGGTGGGTTATGACCAATCTTGGACCTGCGTGTCTTGAACCAGGTCCTTCACCGGTTACCGTTCAAGATATTGACGCAGGAACGCATCTCCGGGTGCATCTGCTCAGTTATGTGAACATAGGGACTTGGTGCTCTCGCACCTCAGCCAGTTGGGCCTTCGGGTCAACTGGGAAAATAGCAAACTCTCCCAGACGCAGAGGATCACTTTTCTCGGTATGAAGTTGAACTCGGTCGAACAGACAGCACGCCTCACGCAGGAACGTGCTCAGTCGGTGTTGAACTGCTTGAATACATAGAGCAGGATGGCGGTCTCACAAAGCTCCTGGGAGACCGCTTCAGCACAGGCTCCATGGCCGAGTCCCGAGGTGGGCGTGGCAACGCGGCACTCACCGGGTCCAAGTTACACCTGCCTGCCGGCAAACCTTCACCCCGTGGTCAGACCTTGCGTTTCTCCGGGCAGGAGTGCCCCGAGACCAGGTCTCCAGGCATGCTGTGGTTCACACAGGTGCCTCAACCACCGGCTGTGGGGCCACGTACAATGGGCTTGCAGTGTCACGGGTTTGGACGGGGCCCCAACTGCGCTGGCACATCAACTGCCTCGAGTTGCTGGCAGTGCACCTTGCCTTAAACCGTCTCAAAGGGCGTTTACGAGGCAAGCATGTACTAGTCCGCGCGGACAACACTGCGACTGCTGCGTACATCAACCGACAAGGTGGTCTGCGCTCCCGTCGCATGTCGCAACT